TGATGTCTTCTCTGATCTCATGTCTTTCTTCTTACATTCAAACTGTGATTCTGTTTCTGCTCCTCGCTGAGCCTCTAAACTTCCTCCTGCAGCTCTTCTTGTCTGAACCTGATTCCAGACTTTGTGTGTTTCTGCTCCGACGCACAAACTCAAACGGTTTCAGTTTAAAAAGCAACTTTTTTCTTTATTGTGCTTCAAAGAAGCCAAACCTTAAAGTCCCACTGGGACGAAACCTGCAGAGCAATAAATACAGTCGCAGCATCGAACCAATAAATAACGTGTGGTCCAGTCAGGTCCACACACACCAGAGCAGCCGTTCACACTCAATAAATACATAAATATATAAATAGTGTCAGAGTCTCTGCGCGGCGCTACGGCGAGCTGTTGGCTCTGACGCAGGTGCAGCCGACGGCCACCTCCACGGTGACGGGCGTCAGGTAGTATCCGGAGCCGTCGCTGCACCGCTGCCTCCTCAGGAACACTCGGCTCTGCTTCACCGTGAGAGAGTTGTAGTCGAAGCTCTGGAATGCCGAGCCGTCCTTCTGCACCAGGATGCAGCCGGAGCAGAGGCAGCTCGCCTCCATGTAGCTGGACGGGAAGTGGTCCTTCAGGGTCTTGAGGCTGCAGAGAGACGAGGATTCATCAGCTTCTAGCAGCTCCACATGTGTCTCAGTGTAGCTGCTTTGTGTCTATTTGTACTAAATGTGCATCTGATTGTTGTTGTTTTTCATCAGTTTTAATCCATTTTGTATTCTTTGTAGTAGTTCTGCATCTTCCTGTAGCTGTTCATCACCTGGTTTTAGCTGTTTTTAATCTCTGTGGTTGTTTTTCTTTTCTTTTTGTCTTTTAAGTCTGTTTAGAATCACTCCATGCTGTTGTTTCACGTCTGTTCATTGACATTTTTGTAGTTTTTCATCTCTTTTTAGCCGTTTTCTCTCTGTTTTGTCATTTAGCATCTCTTAAGCAGCGTTGCATCTTTTTATAGTTTATCTTTGTCATTTTTGCAGCTATTTCTTAAATCTATGTCATAGTTTTGCATTTTTAAGCAGTTTTTTAAAATCTGTTTTTGGTGGTTTGAGCTGTTTTGCATCTCTGTGGTTGTTTTTCTTTCTTTTTAGGTTTCTGTCTCTGTGTTAAATCACTCCATGCTGTTGTTTCACGTCTCTTTATAGACATATTTGTAGTTTTTCATCTCTTTGGACTCATTTTGTTTCCTTCTGTTGTTGTTCTGTGTCTCTTTTTACCTTATATTTAGTTTCACTTGTGTTTTTACTATTCTATGATCTCTCCACAGCAGCGTTGTGTCTTTTATTTGCTGGTTTTCGTCTCTTTTTTAGCGGTTTCCACGTTTAAGAAGCTCAAAGTTTTTGCCACTGATGGATCATTTCAGCTGCGGTTCTTTGAGTCTTTTTGTCCTTGAATATCCAGTTGGTTAACTTTTCTGGATTCTCGGTGATAAACTGTAAAGTTGCCAGGAAGGAAAAGCAGAAGAGGAAGAAGACTTGTGTCTCCAAGCGGCGGCAGGCTGCAGGTTTAGTCGGGCTAATCGGGACTTTCCCTCGTTTGCAATAAAATCAGAACCATTAATTAACCTAGAAGCAATAATGACGCCTGCAGGCTGGAGATGTGCAAATATGAGGTCATGTTTATGTTTGTTTGTTTTGTCTCTTTTGTTGTTAATTATAGATGCTGAGTGTTGAAGCTGCTCCACCGGTTCACAGGCGTCAGCAGCTGCTTTGGTCTGAACATGACGAAGAAATGATGAAGCAACCGGCCGGTTAGAAGGAGTTCAGCCTCGACTGTCACTGAGACGTCAGGAACCTTCACACTGACTGCAGTTCCTCAGTGAGCTTCTATCTATGTCTGTTTATCTGTTACCTGTAAATCGTGTTAATTACAGTCCAGCTTTCAAACACACCGTGAAGAGTTAAGTACTGTGAAAATAACAGCATTTATCTGGAAAATAATAATAATAATAATAATAATAATAATAATAATAATAATAATAATAATAATAATAATATATTTAGCAAATTTAATCACAGTAAAATTTGTAATGTAATTTTACAATCAGTAAAAAATAAAATAATAATAATTATATCAAAAAATTGTTATTACATTTACAATAATAATAATAATAATATTTTTTTACAGTTTAAATGTATAATAATGTTTTTCTATAATTTTACAGAATAATATCTATAATTAAACTAAATCAAATCAAATCTAAAAATCAACAGCTGACAGAATTTTTTGCCTTTAAAAGTCTTCTGTAGCTTTATTATTTTCTTAATTTCATATAACGGCAGAAATCTGTAAAAAAAAAAAGATTTTTTTCAGATTTTTTTAAACCTTTAAAAACAGTAAGTTTTGGCTCAAACATTTTTAAAACATAGATTTTTTTAAAGTGGATATTCTTTACAATTTTCTTTTCTTTCTTTCTTTTTTTTCACCGTTAATCAAAACTAATTTTTTTTTCTGTAATTTTACTTAATTTTATGTAGAATTTATTTAGAGTTATATGATGTAAAAACAAACAAAATCCTCAATAGATTTTGTTTTTTTTAAATTCTGGCTGTTTGTCTTTTTTCTTCTCCAGCAGCAGGTTTCTGTTTAAAGTGAAAGTATGACGCCTTCAGGTCACATGACCACGACTTGACTTCCAGGTTAGTGTTAAAGGGAGAGTTTGAAGTCCGACAGCAGCTCGTCACAGACTAAACACTGACCTCATAACACACTGTAAGAAAACGTGTGTTTAACATGTACGGTGTTTACTGATGGTTCAGATGTTAACGAGATAAAAAAAAATTAAATAATTTAACATCAAAAGTCATTTTATAAAACAGTGTAATATAAGTTTCACAGATATCACTCTACACCTTTGACAATAAAATCACAGTTTTAATGTTTTCAAATCAGCAAAAATATTCGTTTTTTTTCCAGATATTTGCTTTTTTTTGTTGTTTTTTTTTAAAAGTAAGCTGACGTATACTGAGGGTTGGAACATTTGTTAAATTACAGATAATTTCCAGTAAAATTAGAGATTAAAAAAAAGTACTGATTTACATGTTAACTATAAAAATAAAAACAGAAAAAACTGTAAATCATGTTGATATTAAAAAAAAGAAGTCGTGTTTCTGTTGACTGCAGAGTTCAGTCAAATCTGCTCTCATGTTTATAAATGTGTTTATTAAGATCTGAGAAACGGTGAATGATTTTTAAAAAGTGATATTTTACAGATTTGTCATGTTTGGTTAAACTACAGATATAAAAAATACTGAAGGCTTTAATAATCAGTCGTTTGACATCATTTGATCAGAACTCTGTAGTTTTACTGGATTTCAATCAGAAGAGAGATTATTTAGTTATTTAAGACATTTTCTCTTATTTGAAAGAAAATTTGTGATCAGAACTTAGAAATGGTCCATGTGGTTTTTTAAGGATTCTCTCTGATGTGGTTTCTGACAGAAAACAACTCAAATCACAGAAACACTCTGAACATACATGAATCTGATGTCAGTGTTTGTTTCTCTGAAACTCTCTTTGGTCTCATCTGCTTTCTCACTTTTTCTTTCTTCCTCTCAGTTATTAAATAAAAACAGAATAAAACGTGTTTCTAATCCCAATCCTCAGGCTTAATGTGGACCTGCTCCCATCAGTCTGACTGGTGCTGACCCGGTACTCACACGTAGGTCCACGGGGACACGGAGCGGGCGCTCAGCTCGGTGGAGGCGGGTTGCTGGTACAGCTGCAGCGGGCAGGGGAGCTCTGCTCCGCGGGCAGCTGCGGCCGAAGGCTCGGCGGGCTGCGGGTAGTGGCTCCGCAGCTTGCGCTCCGCCGCTCCGAGCAGCTCGGTTTCGTTGTAGCACCGGAACATCTTATTGGACCACACGGGCACGAGGAAAAGCGCGAGGACGAGGATCTGCGGAGGAGACATACGGAGGTGATGAAGGAGCACCGGGGACCGGGGACCGGGGACCGGAGAGCCGAGCACCGGGACCGTCCCACTCACCTGCTTCATGTCCACTCTGCGTGACGCGACCTGCTGATTACTGGACCCGCGTGGCTTTGACTTGCTGTCGGCTCGCTCATCGCGTCTTTTATGGCGGCGGCTCGTTGGGAAAAACCGGCACGAGGAAATGGAAAAGCTCCGGTACTGGACTTCCTGCTCGCGCAGTGAAAGTGCTGCGGGTCAGAGAGGCGGGCACGCGCCGCTTCACACCGAGGGATTCTCCGCTCGCGCCAGCACACACACACAAACACACGCACGCACGCACGCACATGCGCACACAGCAGCAGTCGGCAGGTGAGAAGTTCACCTGCAGAGGAAGAGACGAGCTGCAGCGGCTGAGCGTCTGAACACGTCATCAATAATCAATAATCAATAATCAGCGACTGAAGCAGCGCGAGTTCATCAACAGAAACAATAACATTTATTCACGTGAACGTTTTCAGAAACCTGAAGACTGTTGTTGAACTTTAAGGCTCCAGTTTTCCTAAAACTCAGAAATGTTTCATCTCCACCAACAACAAAGGCTGAAAAACTGTTTTATAAACGTTTACATTCACAGATTTGAGCTTTTAAGTTTCAAACTGTTTCTTATTTGCTCATCAGGCAAACACAGAAATATCAACAACAAAAAAATCAATATAAAATATTCACAGATTCCAAATACTTTCATATTTACTCGTCTGGCAGATTTTAAAACATCACATTTGGATTCCTGTTTGTGTCTCCATGATGAATCTGTCGTCAGCCACTGGATTCACAACAGATTTGAGCTCTGATTTGGGCTCCACCACCAAACAAACACCGTTAGAAGTTCTCATATTTGAGGCTTTTAAGCTGGACAGTTTTTACTCGTTATTTATCTGACGTGAACATCTGGGTTCATGTTTGTGTTCATGTGATGCATTTAAGTAAAAAGCTCACTCTGGTTTTAGCTCTGATTTGGTCTCCTCCAACAACAAAAACACACACACAATACAAAGTACTTCCTGTTTACTGCAGAGCAACATCTGGACTCATGTTTGTGTTCTTTTAGCTCCAGGTTTGGTCTCCACCACCAATACAAGGGTTGAAAAACACTTTAATAAACTCAGAATTTGACATATTTGCAGCGTGTAAGTTGAAAATTGTCTCCCAGTTTGATTATCCAGCAAAAATATGGACATTTATGAGACATTTTAGATCAAAGTCTTTCAGAGATAACGTGTACATTCATTTAAAATGTACTTTTAGCATTTTTTATTTTTTTACAAATTGAAATTTGAGGCTCTTTGAACGACAATATCTCAGAAACTATTAAAGATAAAAGCCTGAAACTTTCACTATTATTTGTCCTAATGTGAAGTTATATGCTTGGTTTTTTTTTTCGTTGTTTTTTCAATTAATAAACTATTTTACAATTAAAATCTAGTAAAATCACTGACATTTTTTTACATTTAAAAACAGAGAGACTTATTTTACAAATGCTTAAATGTGTTTAAATCAGCAAAAATATTGTTTATTTTACAAATATCAGCTGTTATGTGAAAGAAAAAAAAGCAGTCTAAACTGGCTCATACGAATCTTAAAGAATTCATTAAGAGAAGATCAACTTTATTGATCCCGAAGGAAAAGCACAGCGAAGTTCTCGGCTGTGATGTTACATCAGCTCAGAGATTTTCCAGCGCTGCAGAGTCACTTTTATTACCTGAAGTCAGATTTTAAATCATTTCCTAAGAGCTGAATTTCTCAGGTGGAGTCACATCATAAAGAGTTCGGGTTAATTATTAACGCACATAAAGACGGAGGCTGGACTTGATCCAGACTTGAAGACCAGACGCTGCTGCAGCAGGGTGATGATGTCACTGCAGCAGGGTGATGATGTCACTGCAGCAGGGTGATGATGTAGCAGGGTGATGATGTAGCGGCAGGGTGGCGATGAGGCAACATGAGAGCAGAGTTACACAAACTCTGAGTGACGCTGGGGAAGTGTTGAAACAGACGTGATTCAGAACTTTTACTAGCGAGGGGGAAGCAGGAGAACACGACCAGATAATGAAGGTTTCAGACTGTCAGCGGAGGAGCTTCGTACTTCAGGATGATGGTGTAAAGTGAAATCACAGCTGATGCAATCTGCTCTGGAAAGTTTATTTATTCTTCTCTTCAGGCAACAGCACAAGATAGCAAACAAATAATCACTTATTTAGTAGTTGATTGGTTTTTATTGATATTTAAAATTTAGATTTAATATTTTGTTTATTATTATTATTAGTTATTTATTGTTTATTTATTTTGTATATATATATATTATCTGCATAATATTTGCTTCAGAACATGAAGAGTTGTTTATATTTATTTATTCATAACTTTCATGTTCAAAACATTTATTTCAGTTGCTTTAGAACACTTGGAAATAAGATGATTGGTTTCAGAGCCCCTTGATCAAAACATTTTTATGCATTTAATTACAAAACACTATTTTAAAAAACAAACAAACATACATTTAACAATCACATGAAAATTTTACTTTTTAAATTATTTTTTTTTCTTTTACAAAACTTGAAAATAATGATAATAATGATAATAATAAGAAATTATATTAAAGCATCTTTTAAAAAAAAACAACCAAAACAATTGTTTGAATATTTTACATTTTAGAGTTTCTTTTGTTTATTCACAAACTGTTTATTTATGCCTGAATAACCACAAATAAAAATATAAACTTTTTTTGTTCCAGAAAATGTAGAGATGTGTTTGTTTATCCAAAACTCACATGTGTAAATATTTATTTGTTTTGTTTAAGAATACTTGAAAATAAAAAATAATAATTTTCTAATATTTTTGAAATATATATTTTAAATTACATTTGAAATAATAATTAATTTGAGCTCTTTTCGTTAAAAAAAATAAAAAAAAATAAAAACCTTTTCATATGTTTGCTTTTTAAAAATACCATAAGTTTGAGGAGGATTCACATCAGAACAAACAAACCTTCAGAACGTGGATGTAAATGTAACGTTTGCTTCAGAAAACCAGCACATGAAGCAGAAACGTCACAGAATAAAAACGTGAAGCCGGCTTTGGCCTGTTAGTGTGTTTTTAGCGTGTTGTTCTATAAATAGCTTCGGGGTCAGACAGGTCGCGTCTGTTCGGAAAATCGAGCTGCTTCACAAACTGCTCAGATCCCAAAATAGAAGATGTGTTGTTTTTTTTTTTTAAATTCCCAGCTGAGCCTCAGAAACGAGGCCAGAGTCGCTCATCTCGTCTGCAGCAGATAAAGTGACCGATTGAGAAGAGAGACCTCATTGTTGTCTTTGTGTTCATTCTGCTTTTATGAAGCGATGCGGCTCCGGTGACACGTTTCCACATCCGGAGCTTCCAGGTGACGACACGAAGGACAACACAGGAAAACACACAAACTTTAACAGTCAAATGAAGTGAAACGAAGATGTGCATAGACAGCACACAGAATGACACAAAATGACCACAAAGACACACAAAAAAACAACAAAGAAACACAAATAAACAAAAAAAAAACAAAAATGACCACAAAGACACACAAAACAGCATAGAGACACAAAAAAATCATCAAGAGACACAGAATGACAACAAATAGACAATAAACTATCACAAAGACACACAAAAAACAACATGGAGACACAAAATGACCACAAAGAGACACAAAGTGACCACAAAGAGACACAAAACTAGCACAAAGACACAAAAAACTCAACAGAGACACAAAACAAACCCAAAATGACCATAAAGAGACACAAAAAAACCAACTTAGAGTCACAAAACGACCGCAAACACACACAAAAAACAACTTAGAGACACCAAAAAAAACCAACAGACACACAAAAGACACAATAAAACAACAAGAAGACACACAAGGACCACAAAGAGACACAAAAAACAACTTAGAGACACTAAACGACCACACAGAGACACAACTCGACACCAAACAGATGAAGGCGACGTTTCCGAGGCTTCGTTTGTAAATTGAAACCACTTTGAGTTCATTGTTTGCAATGAGAGAACAAAAGCAAACAGAAAAGTCCCGATAGTGAGTCGGTTTATAAAATCTGTTGATTATTCACAGCAACACAAGCAGCGGCGATAGTTTCTCTTTTCGTTCACTGTTTGGGATTTTCTGGTTTCAGCTGATTGTAAACTTTGATTTAAATCGTTTAAACTGATTAAAAAGAAAAGAAAAGAAAGCAGCAAAGCAAAAGAAAAAAAAGGAAAAACAGATTTAAACTGAAAGTGATGTCAAATAATCAGATAGTAACAGTAACCAACAACACAACTCCTCGTCTTTCTGTTCCATTGCGCTTCCTGTTTCGTGTTCATGGTTTTACACTGTAAGCAGCTGATTTCTGTTGTTGTGGTTCGTTGTCCTCAGCAGCAACAAAGGAACCACATGTTTGTGTTAGTTTAGCTGCTGGCAGCTTAAATAATGCCAATGAATCACCTGCAAACAGCAGCCAGCAGGTTCCACGTAGATTCCTCTGTTCCCCGTTCTTCCTCCCAGCTGCCACCTTTCAAAATAAAAGCATGGCAAAGTTCCAGTGTTTGTTTTGGTCAAACGTCAGTCAGACACAGCATTTAAACTGTGACAGGTGAAGACAACGACACAGATTATCTCCACAAAACGACAGAACAGATGCAAGAGAGACCACAAAGAAACAAAGAAAGGCCACAAAGACACACAACAACCACAAAGAGACACTAAACAACCGTAGAAGAGACACAAAATGACGACAACGAGACAGCATATGACACAGACAGAGAAATAAAACAACCATAAAGAGACGCAATGCAACACCAACACCAACGAGACGACCACAGTGAAACACAAAAACAACAACACACAGACAACAAAACAACACCAAAGACACGCAGAGTGACCTGAGAGACACACAAAACAGCCACAAAGAGACACATGAAGACCACAAAGAGACACAAAACAGCCCAAGTACACACGACAAAACAACAAAAGACATGAAGTGACGAAGAAGGAGACACAAAATGACTAAAAAGAGATGAAAAACAACAACA